CCTGTAGTGAGTTCTTGAACTGTTTGGCAATGGTGGCCTTGCGCCCCCTTCCTCTGTTCCTCGTCTCTTCCTCAAGCTCTGCTTCAAACAGTGACGCCACCAATGTGTTCGTACTACCCTGCAGCATCTGTGCCATTGAAAGTTGGTGCAGTGTGTTTAGTACACAAGCAGAGTACAAGTACACGTTTAGAGACAACCAGGTAACCGTTTAAAGTACACAATCCTTAAGAGTAAATGTACCTGTTTAGAGACAAGCAGGTAAATGTTTAAAGTACACAAACGTTCAGAGTAAATGTATACGTTCGAAGTACATGTACACGTTAAGAGTAAATGCACACGTTTAAAGCACATATATACTGACCTTCGAACAAACAAAAACATGCACTGCAGATGGACGTGTGGGCATGCGCATACCACATGTTTGATAGAAGTACATTGCCCGTCATTATATGGACGACTCTTCGATCGTTTCTCAGGTCACACACACACACGCACATACTAACCACATATCCCACCTTAGATACAGCACACACAACCACCCCACCCTACCTCCAGGAGGTCGTCTTTGACCGTATAACCCACCATAAATACAGCACACACAAACACACTACCCTACCTCCAGGAGGTCGTCTTTGAACGTATAACCCACCATAAATACAGCACAAACAAACAAACTACCCTACCTCCAGAAGGTCGTCTTTGAACGTATAACCCACCATAAATACAGCAAACACAAACACACTACCCTACCTCCAGGAGGTCGTCTTTGAACGTGTCTCGGTTCTTGTCCAAGAACGAGTTCACATCGTACACCACAGTGCCGGCATAGTGCACCACTCCAAACGCATCCTTACGCAGTCTGCGAGCAGCACGTGTCAGGTTCGCGCGTCAGTGTCAGAAATGGTGTCAGTGCCAGTGCCAGTGCCAGTGTCAGTGTCAGTATCAGTGTCAGTGTCAGTGTCAGTCATGTGTCGTGTGTTTCAAGCACCATCATTGCACACCAATTGAGCCAACTAGCCACATATCTTGGAAGCAATCCTTAGTGTCCGAACATTCCTATTCAATAGCATGCTCTTCTCCTTGTCTAAACCCATAGCTAGAAATATAAATGAAATGCACCTGTCTATAGTCTCATAGGCACATGTCCCGTATGCTGTACTCACACAGCTACTCTATCACACACACCTGTTTCAGTACACCATTCAGCACACACACCTATCTTACTACACCATTCAGCACAGACACCTATCTTACTACACCATTCAGCACACACATCTGTCTAAGTACACCATCCAGCACACACACGCGCGCCATCTCACTCACCTTTGCTCACTGAAGTAGCTGTGCTTGTTGTGGTTCTGCTTGAGCTTTTCTATCAGTGTGTCGGGGGTGGCCTTTTGGAATCGACTCTCCTCGTCGAGTAGGGCTATCACTCCCATGCGTGCCTCAATCAGTTCCAAACAGGGCAAGTTGTCTTTGAAGTCAATGGCATCCCTGAGTGTGGGTGTAGTTCGTAGATTCGTATATGTTGGGTTTTGTTAGGTTTGGGGGTTTAGGGTTTAGGGTTTAGATGTTTTAGGTGTGTGGTGTGCGTATATGTATGCGTGGTAGTGAAAGTGGCTACTCGTACGTATTTCCTTTCTCGGCAATCCCAATACATATCGGACTTTCTAATTGTTTGACTCAACATTAGTATCCGTACCACTAGCTTGAGTATCCGTACCACTAGCTTGAGTATCCGTACCACTAGCTTGAGTATCCGTACCACTAACTTGAGTATCCGTACCACTAGCTTGAGTATCCATACCACTAGCTTGAGTATCCGTACCACTACCATTAGTATCCGTACCATTAGCTTGAGTATCCGTACCACTAGCATTCGTATCCGTACCACTAGCTTGAGTATCCATACCACTAGCATTAGTATCCGTACCACTAGCTTGAGTATCCGTACCACTAGCATTAGTATCCGTACCACTAGCTTGAGTATCCATACCACTAGCTTGAGTATCCGTACCACTAGCATTAGTATCCGTACCACTAGCTTGAGTATCCGTACCACTAGTATTAGTATCCGTACCACTCACTAGCTTGAGTATCCGTACCACTTGTACACGACCACATTTACCTACCATCTGATGCCCTCGAGCTTGTACTCGGCCTGTTCCATGCCAAAGATGTGGTTGTTGAAATAGTGCGCCAGTTTCTCGTTGGCGTAGTTGATACAGAACTGCTCCAGCGAGTTTACTTCGAAGTTCTCGAACCCAAATATATCCAACACCCCTGCGTACATGTGTAGAGAGAGGGCTGAGTTTTATGGACTATTGGACCGATTTGTCCTAAAAGGTTAGTAGCTCTGTACTTCATGGCAGCTCATGCGCTGAAGTGGGCTGTGCATGTAGGTATGCTACTACCATGTGCTAGTCAGGAGTCATATTAGCCGACAAAGTATAAATGCGTACGTGATCATGAGCAGATGCGTGTAATAATATATATATATATACGCATGTGCATGTTACAATATGCAAATGCCTACGTGGACATAAGAACATGTATGTAATACTAAACGTATATGCGTGTAACAACCTATAAATACATCCGTACACACGAGCACATGCATGCAAACAACAAATACAAAGCCCGACAGCGCACCCCGCCGCCTTGTCCTTACCAATGAACTGCTTCTCCCCGCTCATCATGACCGAGTTGATATGTCCCACCACAAACTTGAACAGGCCTGCATACAGGTTCATAGCCAGGGCGTCTCTGCTATCCGCTGCTTGGTCCACGCTGAGGTTAGACACCACCTTCTCACCACGCATGATGAGCGTTTTGGTTGTCAGCCCTGACTCCAGAGCGCAGGCACTGACGCCTAACAGATCTTCGACTATGACAAGCGCTGTGGTGGGTGGAGGTGTAGAGATTGATGAGATGTGTTATATGTATTGCTGAGGGATGGGTGTGTGTATAGACATGTATATAGGTATATTCATATGAGCACGTGTGTATATTTACATTCACTTGGATAAATATATATAAATCTATATATAGGTGTGTGTTGTGTGTGTGTGTGTATTGCTATGCATATATATATATATATATATATACATAAATACACACACACACACATAATGTATATATATGTATATATATATATATATATATATATATATATATATGTACGTATATATGTATGTATGTTGTATGTATGAAAGTACGTATGTACGTATGTATGTATCTATAAATAAATTTGTGTGCATGTGTGCGCGTGTGCGTGTATACATATCCCACTTGGCCTATCAAATACCCCCCCCCACCCTTCCACCGCTCAAGCACAACCCAATGCAAGTGATACCTTGCCTATCCGCCACCTTGGCACCTGCTTTGTTGGTGAAGGACACATTGCCCAGATGCAGGATTCCCGCCAAAATGGCTAGCAGATCAGTCTGTGCCTGTGGCGCCATGTTGAGAATGGTCATGGATTGCTGTAGCGGGAGATGAAGGTAGTGCCGTGTGAGTTCTGAGTATAGGGTTCTAGAGTTTAGTATAGGGTTTTAGGGTTGGTGTAGTGGTCCTAACTTTGAGGATAGGGTTGTTGTGGGAGATAGAGTAGCGTATATGGGAGACTAACGATACTGCAAACGCAGCCATTACCGTCCTAACATACATACGAAACACACAACTCCAATATCCGCAACAACCTTAACCTACGATATATCCGATACTTATAAAACAGCCCTATACACCTTAAACCCTAAAACACTAAAACCCAATGTCACCCTCACCAGACTAGCGCGAAGGACATACTTACCTGGAACTCTGCGAAGTGCTTGTCGTCTTTGATAGTGTCCACTCCTGTGCACCCGCTCTGGTTGAGGTAGTGAAAGTCTTCGCACTGGCCCAGTTGGAATCTCTCTGCAGACGTGTGAGTGGGTGTGTGTATTCAGATGTCAATGTTAAGTGTGTGTGTGTGCAGATGTTGGTGTTAAGTGTGTGTGTTTATTCAGATGTCAATGTTAAGTGTGTGTGTTTATTCAGATGTCAATGTTAAGTGTGTGTGTGTGCAAATGTCGGTGTTGAGTGTGTGTGTGTGTGCAGATGTCAATGTTAAGTGTGTGTGTGTGCAGATGTCGGTGTTGAGTGTGTGTGTGTGTGCAGATGTTGGTGTTAAGTGTGGGTGTGTCTAGTGCATGCTAGAGAAGAAGACTCTCCATGTCCTGATGGGAACCGTCAGGTTTACCACACATAACTGGATAACTCTCAATGTATACCACACATAACTGGACAAAGATCATCGTGTAACACACACATCTAGACAAAGCTCAGGGTGCACCACACATAACCGGACAAACCTCAAGTGCACTATATATATTCACACAAAGCTCAGGGCACTCTGCAATGTGTTCTGCAGCTGCACGACAAAAGAGGACTGGGCAGCAGAGAATTGCGCTCAAGCTGTTGTGACAGTGACACAGAACGTATGGAACCCCGTGATGTGCAAGCATCTACCTCTCGCACCTAATTGTCACTTCGGTGCTTGCTATCTACCGTTCATACCTACTTGCCACTTCAGTGTTTGCTATCTACCTTCCATACCTACTTGTCACTTCTGGACCTGTTCCCTACCATTGGAGTTCAGTGCTTGTTACGTACCTTTCATACCTACTTGTCACTTCGGTGCTTGCTATCTACCTTTCATACCTACTTGTCACTTCGGTGCTTGCTATCTACCGTTCATATCTACTTGTCACTTCGGACCTTGCTATCTACCATTCATATCTACTGGTCACTTCTGGGCTTGCTATCTACCTTTCATACCTACTTGTCACTTCAGTGCTTGCTATCAACCTTTCATACCTACTTGTCACTTCTGGGCGTGTTCCCTACCATTGAGTTCTGTGCTTGTTACGTACTTTTCATACCTACTTGTCACTTCGGTGCTTGTTATCTATCTTTCATACCTACTTGTCACTTCGGTATTTGCTATCTACCTTTCATACCTACTTTTCACTTCGGTGTTTGCTATCTACCTTTCATACCTACTTGTCACTTCGGTGCTTGCTATCTACAGTTCATACCTACTTGTCACTTCGGTGCTTGCTATCTACCTTTCATACCTACTTGTCACTTCTGGACCTGTTCCCTACCATTGAGTTCTGTGCTTGTTACGTACCTTTCATACCTACTTGTCACATCGGTGCTTGCTATCTACCTTTCATACCTACTTGTCACTTCTGGGCTTGCTCCCTACCATTGAGTTCTGTGCTTGTTACGTATCTTTCATACCTACTTTTCACTTCGGTATTTGCTATCTACCTTTCATACCTACTTGTCACTTCGGTGCTTGTTATCTACCTTTCATACCTACTTGTCACTTCGGTATTTACTATCTACCTTTCATACCTACTTTTCACTTCGGTGTTTGCTATCTACCTTTCATACCTACTTGTCACTTCGGTGCTTGCTATCTACCGTTCATGCCTACTTGTCACTTCGGTGCTTGCTATCTACCTTTCATACCTACTTGTCACTTCTGGACCTGTTCCCTACCATTGAGTTCTGTGCTTGTTACGTACCTTTCATACCTACTTGTCACTTCTGGCTTGCTCCCTACCATTGAGTTCTGTGCTTGTTACGTATCTTTCATACTTACTTTTCACTTCGGTGTTTGCTATCTACCTTTCATACCTACTTGTCACTTCTGGGCATGTTCCCTACCATTGAGGTCTGTGCTTGTTACGTACCTTTGAGTTGCGGAGGAGTGGCTCGTACCAGCTGATAGAAGATGTGGAAGTTGCGCTCGCCCTTGTTCTGTTTAGTGACGCGGGACTTCTCCAGCAAATCTGCAAATGTGATGTGATGTGAGGTGATGTGAGGTGATGTGATGTGAGGTGATGTGAGGTGATGTGATGTGATGTGAGGTGATGTGATGTGATGTGATGTGAGGTGAGGTGAGGTGATGTGATGTGATGTGATGTGATGTGATGTGATGTGATGTGATGTGATGTGATGTGATGTGATGTGATGTGATGTGATGTGATGTGATGTGATGTGATGTGATGTGATGTGATGTGATGTGATGTGATGTGATGTGATGTGATGTGATGTGATGTGATGTGATGTGATGTGATGTGATGTGATGTAATATGATGTGATGTGATGTGATGTGGTTTGGTGTGGTGTGGTGTAGCGAGTAGAGGATGTCAGCTAAGTTAAGAAAGGGCTGAGATAGAAAGGTTGTGCATGGACTCGTGTACGTTTCTTGCTTAGACCTTAAAGAGTCGAGTAGAGAGTATCAGCTGAGACAGAAAGGTTGTACATAGACTCGTGTACGTTTCTTGCTTAGACCTTAAACACTGGCGTAACCAAGAGAGTGATGAATGTGTATGTATGGAGCAGGTACTTACACCCTAGAAATGCTGACGGGTGTGTCTGTAGGTACTAGATGCTATAGAAGTATTTAAGTAAACCTAGAGGCAATATCGAAATATGTATGTATGTAATAGGTACTGTAGAAGTATGCAGGTAAATACAAAGGCAGCACAGAGATATGTCTGTAGGTACTTCGTGAGCGCTAAAGTATGTAAGGGCATCCAGAGCCAACATAGCCACGTGCACATACAATCCGAGGTTCGGGCGCCGTTGATCTGATAGCGTGTGTCGTATTGAATCTCGATGAACTTTCCAAATCGCGAACTATTATTGTTGTACACGGTCTTAGCGTTGCCCAAAGACTCTAACAGCGGTGACGAATCCTTAATCTGCGGGGAGTGTTAACGCATGTACATATTACTATATGAGACCTTAATCTGTGGGGGATATTACGCATGTACACACTATTATATGAATCCTTGATCTGTGGGGAGTGTTAAAGGTATGTACATATTACTATATGAGACCTTAATCTGTGAGGAGTGTTAACGTATGTACATATTACTATATGAGACCTTAATCTGTGGGGAGTGTCAACGTATGTACATATTACTATATGAGACCTTAATCTGTGGGGAGTGTTAACGTATGTACATATCACTATATAAATACTTAATCGGTGGAGGATGTTAACGTGTGTACATATTACTATATGAATCCTTATATGTTGGGAGTGTTAACGTATGTACATATTACTATATAAATCCTTAATCTGTGGGGAGTATTAAACGTGTGTACATAGTACTATATGAATCCTTAATCTGTGGGGAGTGTTAAACGTATGTACACATTACTATATGAGTCCTTGATCTGTGGGGAGTGTTGAACGTGTGTACATATTACTATATGAATCCTTAATCTGTGGGGAGTGTTAAACGCATGTACATATTACTATATAAATCCTTAATCTGTGGGTGATATTACGCATGTACACACTATTATATGAATCCTTGATCTGTGGGGAATGTTAACGCATTGTTACCGTATGTTCGTATTTATTGCATCCGTGTACAGATTGCCCAATCCCAAACGTCGTACTCCGTTTGATGCTCCAATGCAGAAACACAGTTGGGCGGACGTAACCATGGCCACCAATCACCCAGATGTCTACATCTACTCTAACAGACCATTAAACTATTACTACTCTAACAGACTATTAAACTATTACTACTCTCACAGACTTTTAAACTATTACTACTCTCACAGACTAGTAAACTACTACTACTCTAACAGACTATTAAACTATTAATACTCTCACAGACCATTAAACTATTACTACTCTAACAGACTATTAAACTATTACTACTCTCACAGACTATTAAACTATTACTTGCATCTGTCTATCACCCAGATGTCTACATCTACTCTAACAGACCTTTAAACTATTACAACTCTAACAGACTATTAAACTATTACTACTCTAACAGACCACTAAACTATTCTTTTTCCGGAATAGCTTGTGCGTGTGTGTGTGTGTGTGTGTGTGTGTGTGTGTGAATATTTATGTGTATGTGTGTGTATGTGTATGTGTGTGTATGTGTATGTTCATGTGTGTGTGTGTATGTGTATTTAGGTGAGTGTGTGTATATTTATGTGTGGGTGTGTATTTAGGTGCGTGTGTGTATATTTATGTGTGTGTGTGTGTTTGTGTGCGGGTGTTCTTGACTGCTCAACTGATTATATGAATACTACATATTGGCAAAGCAGCGCATGTGGGTTTTAAGGTTTAGGGTTTAGCCCGCTGGTCAGCGACGGAGGAGAGGCACACGGTTTATTGCATTCGCTGTTGCAACACTACACGACCCGAAGTGACTGTAACACATACAACCGATTGACTGTAACACACACAACGAAGTGGCTGTCTTGTACACAGAGCTATGCAGTACACACACACACATACACACACACACTCTCTCTCTCTCTCTCTCTCTCTCTCTCTCTCTCTCACTCACACACACACACGACACGCGCGCGCGCGCACGTACCTGTTGTAGGATATGGCCCACCCCACCCCCACACATCATCGACAGGTGTTGGATTAGTATCTTAGCTGTCTCCGTCTTACCCGCACCAGACTCGCCACTTATCAGCACTACCTAAGTAGTCAGAGGGCCAAAACCGTGCCAAAACAAAACAAGGTCAGGTCAGGTTTATAAAGCAGGTAAAATAAGGTCAGGTCAGGTTTATAAAGCAGGTAAAACAAGGTCAGGTCAAGTTTATAGGGCAGGTAAAACAAGGTCAGGTCAGGTTTATAGGGCAGGTAAAATATGGTCAGGTCAGGTTTATAGGGCAGGTAAAATAAGGTCAGGTCAGGTTTATAGGGCAGGTAAAACAAGGTCAGGTCAGGTTTATAGGGCAGGTAGAACAAGGTCAGGTCAGGTTTATAGGGCAGGACAGAATCACAGGCAGGTGCGCATAAAGGCGGGAGAGTGCAGAGTTGGTTGGCGGGAGTATCGATTTTCAATAGGTCGGTTGAAGTGTCTGTTTTTGATTGGTTATTTGAAGTATCTATTTTTAATTGGTTGGTGGGAGTATCTATTTGTAATAGGACGGTTGAAGTGTCAGTTTTTGATTGGTTGGTTGAGTATCTATTTTTAATTGGTTGGTGCGAATGTCTGCTTTGATTGGTTGCTCGAAGTATCTGTTTTTCCTTGGTTGGTTGATTATCTATTTTTAATTGGGTTCCTTGGGAAATAACGGTTCTAGTCGCAACTAAGTGTGAGGTTGGGCTTGTGAGTATTGGAGCGTGTACAAAGATACAATCAATTACATGGACAGTAAACACGTCTGTGTGTTATTAGGGGTATATACACTAATTATCCCACATACACATGGGCAGGAGACACACACGTACACACATACACACACACGTACACACTTACACACACACGTACACACATACACACACGCGTACACACATACACACACACGTACGCCCATACACACACACGCACACACGCACACATAGACACACATACACAACACACCTGGTTCTCTGCCTTCTCCTGCAGGCGGCAGTACGCTTCCCTGGAGATGGCGTACGCGTGCGGTGGTAAGTCACCCAGTCGTGCATTAGCATATTGATTCCGCATCTCGTCTGTGTACATACCCTCAATCTGTGGTGCACGTTGACAGGTGTATATGAGACATCCTTTCACTTGGCTTTCAGCTGCACGCAATAGTATGTAAGACATCCTACCACTTGGCCTAGCTACACGCATTAGTAGATATGTAGTAGACTACGCAGATGACACAAAGAAGTGCAAGAACTTAAGGAGATCTAAAATACTCGATCCTGTGCATATGTACACACACCGGTGTAACGCCTAGCTCATAAGGTACACTCTTTTGTTCTTGGCTACTGGCCCTATGCGGGCTGATGTTTCCCCGTATGCCCACGACATTGAAACATAGGACGTATTGAAAAATAGCAATGAACTGGTATAAGCCTTCGTAGCAAGGCCACAAGTGTGTTGTGTGTGTTACTGGTTACAAGTATATTGGATATACCCGGTGCGTGTGGGTGGGTGGTACGTATGATGTGCTTCGAAAAGCATGCACACACACACACACACACACACACTTTTGCATTGGCGCCATATCACCACAAGTGCTGTGTGTGCACAGGGCGTGCGATGTCTATAGTCCGAGATTACGTTCTCTTCCAAAGCGTTAACGGCAGTATTACACACATACCGTCTTGTAGGGGTTCATGGCGATCACAATTGATCCCACAAACGTATATATCTTCTGTTCGCGCATACGGACACAGATGTTGCGCAGAATGGCTTCCAAGTGCATGTCTGTGAGGGCCGACATGTCCTCAACTCCTCTGACACTGTCACTGCTCATGCGCAGGCAGTTATCCAAGGTTATCTCCTCCACCTTCTTGACGATTTTCTGGTTACACGTGAAGAGGTGCGGTACGTTTTATTGGGGCTGGTAGTGGTTCTGTCTACACTTTCGGGTGACTAACTATACCCGAGGGATGATTTCCGGTAGTTACTGTGTTCCCGCGTGCGATACTGCTGTGTGTACATTGAGTTGTGTGGCAGTGTGTCTGTGTAGTAATTCACAGAGCGTGAACACGGGCGAGTACAACACAGCACGAACAGGACCACACTCCCTTATGGTGGGCACATGTTGCAACAGTATCGTTCTCATGGCGAATCTGGATGCCAAGTCACAACCCGTCCATTGTTAGTCATTGTGTGCATCGATAGCTGTCATCGGACCGTTTCTATCCACTATTGCATACGTAACTGAACTATAGAACAGAATTTCCCAATTCTATATCAAATAAATACAGCTTACATTGAAAATTGGAAGTACTACAAGATAGATGCTAATACTACACTATATGTATATATATATATATATATATATGTGTGTGTGTGTGTGTGTGTGAGTGTGTGTGTGTGTATAGATAGATAT